CAGAATGCCCAGTTTTCAAAGAAGATTATTTGAGGCTGCACCAAATTAAATGACACAATTATTTGACATAATTATCTTATTGAACAATTGTACGTATTACGCAACAACCCTATGTAAATTTACATAATAACAGTGTGGTGCGGCATTTAAAACAAAGAATTATTTAGAATATTCATTTCTGATGGTACAATGACTGGTGCCAATATCTTGATTACACCTCTACTTACACAATTTGGTAAAGAAAATGAATTTTATTTCCAATAGAAAGGAGCTCCTCCATACTAGCATAATAATATAAGGGCATACCTTACTAAGAGCCATTCAAACAGATGGGTTGGACCAAGGGATTCTGCATGGTATCTTGATTGTTCTGCAGATCTAATAACAATAGGTTTTTTCTTGTGAGATATATAAATTTTACATCAGAATACCAACGACTCAATAATGCACCAGTTGAAGTGTATGATTTGAGTATTGATTAAAAGTTAAAAAAAGCATTAGTTATAATTATATAAGCTATGTATAAATTTTTTTCTGACATTCTGTACATCAATTCATCTATGTACGTTAGAATGAACTGTATCCAGAGGCAAGTTTAATTTTTAATAAATATTTTGATTTTTTATCAATTAGCAATCCCGTTTCACGTATGCCGAAAATACAGTAACCTAATACAGTATTCCCTACCATAGTTATGTAATCTAACTTAATGTAGCCACTTTAATTAAACGAAATTTGCTTACGGTGTGTTGTAGAAAATATAATTTTTGGGACAAGGGAAACTTATAGCAAATAAAGCAAAGAAAAGGTACGTTTTTTATGGGTCAATATATATTCAAAAAAATGCTAAATTATTTACCTGGTCCAATGATCTTACCTACTTAAACTAGATCCAAAAAACTAGTATTTCAAATTATGTCTAATATCTGACTTGTTCATTTCTGATGAATGCTGAAGGCTCGATAGTATTCCTTATAATCAGTAACGTATGGTTTTTAGAAATAGCGAGGGGTCTTTTTGGTTCACTATTAACTACAGCCATTGCCTTTTTTGTTCTCATCTCCTCAGTCAATCGTTGTTACAGCCAAAAATACTAAAAGGCACATACACCACGGATTCATGCATGACAAAATTCAGTTTAGAATTTGGCTTGCGTATGTACACAGACTCAACGTAAACGATTGGCGTTACGTGTAGTGAACGTCACTCATTTTACGTGGTAACTGGCGCTTCCGAGAGTTCGTATACGATCCGTTATCGTAAGAAATGCGCCGAAGAGAATCTTTATAAAACCTGCCAGCTGTCATTCAGCATGCACCTAGTTGATACGATCTCACAAGGCTTGGTTTTCCGCTATAGAAATAGTTGACTTGATCCTCAGTGAGTTTTACATATGTTCTAATTGCCATTGATGTATCAAGTTATATAGTAGGAGCTCTGAACGTGAATTGTGATAATAGGCACATTTTTTATTTTGTTTATGAGTGTTTATTTATATTGTCGTTGTGTAAATGAGGGAAAGCTCTAACGAATTTTGCGTTGAACTTATTTTTCTCTCTAGTTATAGAAATATTACAAACATTACGACATTCCGAAATAATTTTACTATTTTATAACAAGCGCTGTTGCTTACTCAATCGTGTGTACTTCAGTAAATAATTGTTTAATCTTGTGTCGTTTTTCTAATCGTACAGCCAAATACATACACTGAGCCTGTTTGAGATTTACTATTGCAGATATAACAGGTACACTCAACTAACCTCTGGGACCATTAATTACCCAGGAAAAACCTAAAATTGGTTACCCTTTGCACAAATGCCTTTTTAGAGCACGGATTCTTGTCTGTCATTCCATTGGCCCAATCCAAAAAATGTATTCGGGAGATCATCGTAGCTGTCCCCGGCCAGACTTTTTTACAGAAAAATGGTCCGAGGCGAGCAGACATCGAGTTCATGCGCTACGTAGCGTAATGAAATATATTGAAACGGAATATGAGCAGATGGCTGAAAATGGCAGTACACCGGCGAAAAAGTGTCTGGCCAATCTTGACTACAATCGCAGGATTCTACCGATGTGTATCGACGCCATAGCTATACTTGAAGAATGTCCTGAACTCAATCACATCGATGATGTACTTCAACGATTGGAGCAAAATCCAACACAACAATTACCACAGCAGTTATTCACTGTGATTAGTAAAATCAAGAAGAAATACTATGAAAAGCCCGAACTTTGACTGAAGATAGCTGACAGAAGGGAGTTCACCTGGCTAAAGATATGACAACAAATTCGGTTTGTAATAGGCAACAGCATTATTAAAAGCCGCTTATTAATGCGCTGGTAATAATTTTGTTAGGTGCAATATTGCAGTTGATTATCATATCCTAACCTACCGAGGTCTATTGTGATATGTTTTCCAAACATTGTTACCTCATGATTGTTTTGGGAAAGTATCATGTATGGCAGATTTCGCTGATTACGTAAAAGGTGTAAGCTTCGCATTGAATTAGTTAGTATCTACTAGGAATACTCCTATTGATAACGGCAATCTAACAGAATAAAGGCTCAACATTTACAATAGATTTTTTCATAATGTAATAAGCATTAATGACGTCGTTACGCTAACAAAGAGTTACTGAAGATAAATCAAACTGTACGCGGATTATGGAGCATTGTACTTGTAGCATGCACAGAATAACATAGTTACTATTGTGATACAGACATTGGTTCAAATTGACCCATACTTTCTCTCACTGCATTTTCCGGGACACCTGGGTAATTTAAAAGGACTTCTAATGAGATCGAAGTCTCAATGAGTGTATCGTCTGCTGTCCACATATTAGGTATTAAAAAGATTTTAGCGACTTTGTGATCGCGTCCCTAAGCTACTGCTCCGGACGTAGTCAAAGGAAAACAAACTCATATTGCACCAAAAATCCTGGTGCTCTCTTGTGGTGAAAAATCATATTACGATTTCGACAGCTCTATCGGAATCAGTTATCCTTATAATAAAAAAACTAAAAGTGAAATAAGAACCGCGTGTCTTCGGTAACTGCCATAATTTTTTTTCTTTCACTAGTCAACCGTTCTAGTTTTTTTCAAAATTAAAATCGTTTTCATTGATGTAGTTCAAATAGAGTTTCAATTTTGACTCCCAGTTTAAAATGTTCGAAGCTTCAGTATATTATTTACCTCTCTAATGCTACACGTTATAGCCTTAGCAGAATGGGATATACGATGGAAAAAATGTCGTGGGGACCTCCGTTGTCTTCTGCTCATATGTCTCCTATAGGCATTGTTTGCTTATAAATGCTCATGCAATAAGTGCCTGGAAAGAAAGTGGGTTTAGACACGATAAATCTTAATTATAATGTCACCATTTAAACGCCTTAGCGATGAATTCACTTATTTTTACTATTCTCACGTCTTTTTACGTAGGTTAAATGTTTCCTCCATAAAAACTGTAGTTCCGAAATCTCTCATATGGCAAATGCTTCATTGGTTTAGATGATTCTCTTTTCTGTACATCGTGTTGATTATAATTAACAACTTTTCTTCCGTGGATTAGGCAATCACAAACCACGGAGAAATAGAAGTTGCTATCTGAGGCGGTCATGTGGGAAGGTAAACCAGAAGTCTGACGTTCTTCTGCCTTCTCTGGGCTGTCACCACTGGTCGTAGTGCTTAATGAGCCAATCACTTCAGTGACTTCACATCTCGGCAAGTCAAGGACGAGATTCTAAAATAGGCTTTTGACTCCTAAGCGAAAGTCGCCATTCGCCAAGTCCATCATTACATAGGTGTAGCCTCGTTGTGCAGCAGGACGCCAGACGCAAGAAGTCGTCGTACCAAGCCATAGCGTATAGGCCAGCCTTTCCTATTTTGTGGAATTCCGTTTTTTATCTTTATACAGGCACTAACTGTTTGTCGCTGCCCGAAGGATATTATAGGCCATTCTTCTATATGCATACGCCACATCATAAAAATGAAAAAAACCTAGTTTGAATGATATGTATTCCAAGAAAGTCAGATTTTCGACTAGGTAGGCTCCTTCTAAGTAAGGAAAAATAAATTTTTCTGTGGTGATACCTCGAGTCGATGTACGGCAGCGGATACAGCCTAAGTAGACCAGTAAGATCCGGTAGGACAAAATCAATCGGATAAATGTATGATACTACTTTTTTTGCAGAATCATATTCTGCTCTAACATGAAGCCCGAATTTATTTATGGACCAGATTGCCTTGTTAACGCTAATTTACGTCTGTTAACAAGCTGCGTGCGTGTGTTAACTTAGTATACTTTATTCTAAGGACCGTTGCGTTGGGCATTCGTGCTGCCGCAGGCGTCCGCTCTAGTAAAACTTACCACGACACTATACACAATTATAGGAGAGACACATTGATTCGGGATGTGTTTCAAACGAAACATTAACGAGGTTGCTGTAACGGGATTGGTCATTAGAACAGAGACTATGATCATCTGATTCAAGCCTAAATAAATGTATCACCGGTACTGCCTTAGAGGGGTAGCTTGCAACACGAAACGAAGCATGGCTACGTCTAGTTTCGAATCCAGACCACCTTGCGTGCCCTGAAGTTTGGTAAGCAAACACGTCAGTACTGAGTTCCCACGGGACTCTGGTTCAAGTTCAAACATATGAACCAAAGCAGTTCGGTCCACTGCAGCAGTTCCTATTCAAAATAACGGTTCCTTGGTTAATCCCTGCTATAGGACGTACAAGTCCCACGAAAAATACAAATGGGAACAGGAACAGTACAAATAAATTTAAAAATTTAAATAAGCGCTACTTATAGTACCTCCAGTACCAAACGTGATAGCACCAAGGCTAGGTCTATATTTCGAAGTCATCGAATAAGTAAAGAACATATTGCGTTTGTTTTTGGATTACTTCCCAATCTCTTCCACAACGAACCCAGTAAAAAAGCAACACACTATTAAATAATTTTATTTACACGTAATTACAATTCAGCCTGTTTTATTGTTGTTAATTAATTCACATTCAAAAATTCGAGTGCGCACTCGAAAATTTATTATTAAGGAAAACACTTCAGTGTAGCGGACAGGTTCGTCAGACAAAATTACTCACTCACTTATTTACAACTGTGTACAGTTAATAAGCATAAGCATTATACAGGGTGATGGAAATATCAATGTGTGTGTCTGTGTGGAGAAAACCCTACCCTACAGTTGACGCACGTACACCACAGTGTAAGCTGTTAGCACACCTTTTTCTAAATAAAAAAAATCCTTTTTTTTTTATTTAACCTGTACTTAGTTATTGTTTTCGTGATATTAAATATTTTGGCTGCTACTTGATACGCTTTGTTCGGTCATATCATAATATTATTGGCCATAATACTAGTAGATTCAATTCGGATGCATCCGACAGTGGACAGCTTAGTTTCTTAGGGGATTGAAGCAAATAAACACAGAAACGATGCTGTGAACTCTAAATTCAGAAGATATAAGTTGCATTTTATTCACCATTAATCAATACTTTAAAACTAATTAACGCTTTTAATAATTAATGGTGTAGTAGTAAAAAAGCAAAATGAATAAAGTTATAACAACTAAGTTGAATTCTCGGACATATCCCAACCTCTATGTATGTACAGGGTTAGCTATACAGTCCCAGTCAAACAGTAGGTGGTCCGGCTGGGCAGTTTATATTAAACGGGAGAGAATACTTCAACGAATGAGGGTTTACTTAAATGCAATATTTAACTGTTACAATTAGTAATTTCCTAATATTATTATCATGCACATAGTATCAGGCGTGGGCCATTACAAAACTTCGTCTTGAATTCTTATTGAGCTTAAAATAGATCGAAAATTTTCGCAGATGCGAATCGATGCATCTGCGCTCTCAAGCGACTTCTACACAATGGAGATCTATGGCAGAGAGAAGAAAGTTAATTACATGACGTGAAATACCAAAATCACTACCAAACAGCGAAATACCGGAATCACTACCAAACAGCACGCGTTCCATGATAAATCCATAATATTACAAAAGATAAATAAGATACTGATCTTGTAACGATAAAATATACGGTGTAGACTGCTTGTTAAGCAAAGCTGTACAGTTTTGACCGGCTGGTTTACTGCAACAGCTGCCCACGCTAAATTTTGAAAATAAATGTTGACAGAATATTGACTGTGAATACAATCATTTTCTATACTGATACTATTATGTGAACTTTTTCAGATGCAGCGCAGTTCACAAAAGGTTCGCTTAGTGTAACTACTCATCATTGGTACTTTGCTTGAAGATTCGATAGGAACACTTTTCTGCGATAAATGTTGAAGAAAACAATACATACGCCTAAGTTATTCTAATTAATTTCTCACTCCCGCTAGACAATTTGTTCAGCTGCAAAGTCACCTAAGAAAGCATCCTCATTGAATAATTCAGCCGGAAGTGTCAATGATGCTGGCTGGGGCGGTAGTGACTGTATCTTTCGAGCCCCTTGTTTGGCCGCTAGATGCCTTTCAAGTTCTTCAGGTGTTAAGGGATTATTGGGACGAGTTGCTGCCGCCACAGACGGAGAAGGTATTACTCCAGAAGAGTTACCGTGGTGACCACTACGGCTGTGATTCGCCTCAAGACTTGAATTTGTTGACACAGCTGTTCCTGTTCCACTTTCGCGAGATATCGTAAGTCCAACTCCGATGGGAGAACCGGCATTGCTTGCCAGAGCAGCAGCTGCAGCGACTGTGACTGCATGTGATCCACTTTTACGACCGGAAGAAGCATGACGTGCGGAGGTGTTACTTTGTGTATAACCTCCTGTGCCTTGATGAAGATAAGTTTGATTGGTGTTGGAGGAATTACTACTTCTGTGGCGTGAGGCTGATTTGGCATGTTGTTGTCTCCCAGCCTGAACGGGTTGTGCACCTTGCCCTGCTATTACCGCAGCCTGTTGTTCTAATCGAGCTTTCTTTCTTTGTCCTCCACCACCACCAGACTTTCGGCCCCCGCTCCCAGGACTAACAGAGTGGAAGGACCGATCCCCAGGTGCCCCATGAGTTACCGCTCCACTGGCATCCTTGTGGCTTCCAGAACCTTTCTGGTAGCCCCCACTTGACCCTCCACCACTTCCTTCTAGGTAATGGTTTTCTTGAGCGTTGCTACTACTTGTAAGTCTTTTCGAACCCCCACCGCCAGCACCACCGTTCCCTGTACTAGCGTCAAGATTATGACCACTACTGTTCCCTCCTTTGCCATTTCCGCTTTTACCTGGGCCACCCCCTCCACCAAATCTACTGCAGGGGCCACCTGGTTCTCCTCCGGGCCCGCCACCCTGTGGATTGCGAGGCTTTCGCGGCCTCGGAGGTCGCGGCTTTTTGGTACCAGATGGGGGCTTTTCTGAGGCGACTGAAGTTCCACTACGATTATTTTTCTCCTGACCTGTTGTTCCTATATGCGGTAGTTGTGTGCGACGTGGTACAGATGGTGTATTAGGTTGTGGTTGTGGGGTTGGAAGGTGTGAATCTTGATCTGAATCAGACAGTTCACTCTCAGTAGATGAATCGTCTTCTTCATATGGCAGAAGTTGATCTAAAAGGAATGCCTTATCGCGAGTCACACGGAGCAGGCGATCATTTACCTGTAATGATGAAATGTTATAATTATCATTGCTACTATAGGTAACAGATAATAATCGTTAATAATAAATTGCAAGAAAAACGCGATGTTACAATGGATCTCAATTGTCGACTTTATATCCGAGCTTTATGGATGGGGTATCAGCATAGGAACAAACCCGTATATGCTATAATTTGAACACAATGAGATTGTAAACAATCATATAGCTGTCCAACTGTAAAAATTTGCCGCGTTCCAAAAGCAACAATGTGCGAGAAAGTCAGCTACTTTTCGACGGATATAAGAACTAAAAAGCATAAATGTGAGTGGTTAAATTTGAGGGCGAACAAATGTTTCACATACGGCTTTCATCCTTCAGGCCGTATATAAAGGATGTATACATTAATATAAATTCAACGTATTATGTACAAACTGAATTATATCTTTCCTTTATGCATATAACTCTCTGTGAAGGAATCCTAACCGGCAATTAAGAGATGTATAAACAATGCGGTTCGAACTTCGCTAATACAAAGGATGTGGATACACTATAACAAGGAAAAATAGCATGACTGAGGTAACCCGATTTACGGATAAAGCATGCCATACGCTTGACAAAAACACTACTTAGAAACTCCTAGTTCACTCTTAGTGGAGCCGTCAGAGCTTCGATAAACGATTTCGAAACTTTGTATTTCAAAATAAGATATCGTAGGTCAATATAGAACAAATTGAGCTCTGTTAAAAACTAACCTTGGCAATTTCCTGTTTGTAAATTTCGTTCTCAGCAATAAGCTGACGAACCTTCCGCTTCAACTCTCCGTATTGCTGCTTCGGGTCTAAACTGGGATCCATCGTTCACCAGGCAAAACTGACGAATCACCTCACAACATTTAGTCGAGTGCAAAGTTTTTTTTTGTTTTTTATGACTATACCAACAGCGTGCACTCCTCACGCTGCGTCCTCTCACAATGTTCCGTCTTCATAAAAAATTTCTTCGTTTAGTTTCGGCAATTGATCGTAGTTAGCTGTTTTGAACAATATTATTCTCACATCGTTTCGTCCTGAGAGACCCGTTTTATAGAACTTTTCATTTTCTAATTAAATCATGATGTAGGTTTTTATATGCGATGTAGGCGAATTCTATTTTTCTATGCGAGGCATTTTAGCACTATTTTGAAAAATATAGAGTGTGCGGCTATGTTTATTTATGAAAAATTCTCTAGTCAGTTTTTTGTTTTATTAATTATTATACTTGTCGGTATAATAAACATCCAAATTTCTACGTTTGGTATGCCAATTTTAAGCACGAAAAACGTTCTTCCGGTCGAAAGATGAACTAAATTTTAAATTAATTTGAATGGAGTAAATCCGAAGCCGACTTTACACTTTTTTTTCAATAAACGGGAATTCAAACGCCGTATCTTCTATGAGATAGCTACGATTTTGTTTATCTAAATAGGTTCGGTTTTTTTTAATTTACGAGATCACCAACGATTCTTCCATGTATAGTCTAATTCAGACTGCACGCATTTGCTATTTGAGTGCAAAAGACAGTCCGGAAAAATCGTAGCAAGTCACACAGTGCAAAAATATTGAGCGTAAGCCGGCGAAACTCTTTACACATATATACACAGAGCACAATGTTTTGCTGTCTTAGACAAAATCGTTTGCCAATGCCGATACACAGTGATTTTGTCTGAAGTTGGCCCAGCTGATAATGCAGCTTCACTGATCGACAATTTAGTTAATCAGTACCATGTGGATAACACGGGAAATTCATAGAACTATTTTTTTACTTAAGTATTCTCTAAAAGAACCTGCAAAAAACAGCATCGCACTTTTTCTAAGATTCGAACATTGACATTCCTCTCTCGCTCGCCATGGGGGCTTTGTTTGCCAACAGCGAAACACCACCAACAAAACACTGTTTCGTCTGCTAGAGATACAGCGTCGTCCGCTGCAAGCGAAGGATCTAAATCGAGGTGACCCGGCAAATGATCTCAGAGAGTTGTTGTGTTTTTACCATGCTGATTTGTATGCTTTCTCGGATAAGATACCTACTATTTTAGTCTTAATAATTATATTCATCTAATACGTAAATTTCATTGCAAAGAGTTAAGTAATGTATATATATAATGCGATATAATAATCTCCTTCAGCAATTTGGCCGGAGCAATGTTTCAACTATACTTTTTATATCCTGCAATGGAAGACAGCAGTATTTTTAAATACATTAGGTAGAGAGCCATATATATATATATATATATATAATAGCAATATAATCGAAAATATGATACATACAAGCAAGGTTATGATAACTGTTAAAAGGCAATCTCTTTTGAGGATCTTACTCCCAGTGTTTGCTAGATTGACATCCACAACACTAGAACAGAAGTAATAATTCTACTGTCTTACCGTTACACCAATATTAATGAACTTGATGGCATGTAATGGAGAAAATAGTAAATCCCAAACTCTGCTATTTTGTGAAATTTGGTTATACGATTGGAGTTGATTTTCCTGTTCTGATAAAATAATCGGCAGTAAAACCTACTCAACCTCTAAAAATATATATTATTGGTGTGATTTCTTAGATTGTTCAGCATGTTGATAAAATAGGAATCATAAGTGTTCTCTGGATTGTAAAACACAATATGCGTATTAGCAATAGGTTCGATTTAGTTGAAACATTCTTCCTTAGTATTCTTTTGCGTTCAATAACGGTTATACTTCCCTTCACACTCCGCCGCTGCACTGCGACGCTTTCACTCCGGTTGAGATATATACTTCTTCAAACCAATTTCGAGAGAACCGTTTATCCGGCCGTCTCGAATGAAATCAAGCACATAATACATTATTATCATAAAAAGATGCTCTACGCAAGCTTCACTGTTAAAATTATAAAAGATTTAGCATTTGAATATATCTGAATTTTCAGCGACAGTAGGACTGCGAAAATTGATACAAAGTTGAAGGTAGGTAGACAAATAGATTATACTATGTAAATTTCACACAAGATTTGCATTTCGTACTGTATTCAACAGTTCTCGCTTTGTATCAAGGTCATGTATAGAGTTACTTGATGATATATACTAAAATATGACCATTAACAGATCTTGAAAATACACAATCAATCATATTAGTTATGTTTTTATGCAGGGCCACGGTGTAACGAACTTGGGTGACCCTTACTTGCAGAAAAATTAAACATGTATATGAAAATTTTTATCATTAAGAGTGCAACCATGTGCTCAATGTAACATGGAAATGATAGAATGTAGCAGGTGTTGAAGATTGAGGCTGATGAGGTCTGACGGTACTTAAAACAAACATTCAGCAACTTCTTGCGCAAAAACTGGCTCAAGAACCGTTCGCTCCGACATACTTAAATTTATATATTATTAAATTAATCAAACTTATTTATTCACCTGTGTCAGGTAACATTACGAATACTTGAAATATATACATTTATAACAGCTTGGCAAACTAAGCTTCATATGCTTAGTTTTTGAATGCTCATGAAGTTCTCATATGCCATACATATGAGGACTTAATGAGCTTGGCTAAGGTAAATGTCATGAGGTGGTTCCTCGAATAATAAGGCTAACAGGGTTATTTTAGACTTACCAATGATTCCATTATGTTATATACTATGTTACTGTCGTTCTTCGCTTAGTTACCGAGTAAGGCTAACTAGCCATTTAACTTATGGGCTAGAACAAACACAAGATTTATCAAATTTATGAAACTTCTGTATTATGCATAGGCAGTTGTTAAATCCGTGCATTGTATAGCGCGTTACTACATATCTGTTAGACCATTCAAGTCCTTTAGAATTTCTCCGACCTAATTCCCTTTTCATAGAATTTTCGATTTGGCATCCCATGTTGTCAAGCTGGAGTACTAAGGTTACCGGTGGGTTAAGATGGTGATGGAGATCCACGGCGAATGGTGGCGTCACTTCCAGAAAGTAGACAAGCCTCTTACGGGTTGTCAGTCGCAATCCCAACGCTCGTTTAAGCAACAAGGCTGTTTTTTGCTTCAAATGCTTGAAATTCTCCGGCTTAGATTAAGCTTACCCTGCACGCAGCAACTGGCGCAACTTTTGGATCGAAAAATCGCAAAGCGGTTGAGAAGAATAATCAGTGGGGACTAAATATTGAAGACGAAGCTATAAAGGTTATTTTATATTGTCGTCGGAGAAAATTTGGCTTTTAGATGAGATTAGCAACAAGAATCGATTAATATGGTCATAAATCTGCTAAAGAAACATAGTGTATTATGAATCGCAATTCTGCTACCTGCCATTCCTGAATTGCGTTGTCTCGATAGCCAATTCGAGACGGCAGAATATAACCTGGTTAGGAATATGAAAGCCATTGCTTCCGTAAATAACTAAATCGTCTGCATAGAAGGGGACTTTCACCATATCTCTAGCTTCTTATGTCTTGTCAGGAAAATCCTTAAGCCAGGCCGAGAAAAGGAGAACGCTCAAGTTATCACGCCAAACCACAGCTGTAACCTGAAAAAACGCTCACCGCTCCGATAACCCATCCTGGATTGTAACCCTGTTTTCCTGGAATGTCACAGCTAGCAAGTTAAGCACGTTTGCAAGGCTTAATTAGGATGAAGTTAAAAACAGCTTTAAAGTTTACAAGCCCTCCGTAGGTATACTGTCGCGGACTACTTATAATTCGCTTATTTTTGACGAATAGGGACTCATTTCGGTCGAATAGCCTTTCTGGAAGTATGGTACTCACATTATCCAGAAACATGTTTAGTATACACGTCAGCATGTACGGAAGAAACTCATAACACATGCTATTTTTCCCGATGTGCCGCTGCGATGTTGGTTAGTTTAAAATGCATTTGCTTTGTGGAAGAGCGAGAAAAGTTACATATCGCCAATAAGGAGGAAATGATCCGGAAGAAGGACGTTCGTTGAAAAAGGCAGCCCGGCACGGCGCTAGCTCCACGGCAGCTTTAACGTTGGCATTCTGAACTCTGGCTAGTCCCACTGACCTCTTTGACATGGCTAACGATCGGCTTTCCTTTTGAGAATGGCCCGTTAGTGCTCTAGGTATTTCGTGCGCTTGATGACATGTACCTTGGTAACTTTGGACGCTGTAAGCAATGATGCACTGCTGGTTGTAGTTTTGCCGGTATTTTAGAAACATTCTGAGTTCGATGGGCGAGGTAACAACTGAAATTAAACCATGACCGATGTCTCCTGGAGCGCGTTGGACAAACAAAAGGTAAGCCTCAACATTAATCGAGTCTGGCGCTGGCGCTAGACCTTACGAACCTGTTCAGAAGCTTCTTTGAATACGATTTACGAGGTGAAGGTTCATCCCTAAGGGATCTAATTTCATAGATACGTGCGCCTAAAGTTACTTCACGGTACTTGATTGTATACCTACTCGCGTACTAAAGATAGTGTGATACATTAAAAGACAGCTCCGCCGTTTTTTTTACTCTTTACGCTCAATCAATGCAAACACTAATCTATTGCGTATAATTTTAATATAACGCGGAACAGATAGCAGATATGCAAACTATATATGGGGGATAGTTTAAAAAAAACGAAATTTTTAACCAGATAAACGTTCCTATGCGGCCTTTGCCATACGCAAAGGAGCTCGCGATGTTCTTTTACAATTGTAAGATTCTATAAAAAAAAAAATGGTCAACGAACAACAATAAGCATTTAATTATAAACTACAAAATACTAACAGAAAATGAAAACAAAGGCTGCAGACGTTACCACGTTGAAGGTTTTATTGTAGATTGCTGTAGATTATACAATAGTTGTTTAAAACCATTGTCAAGATAAGTTCGGTATTCCTTTACAGCTTTTGCACGTAAAACATTACATCATTTACAATTGAACATTTAGCAAGCCTTTCAAAGCAGCTTTCCCACAACAGTACTCTGAATCAGTTGCACTTGGGCAGCCCACTTCTCCATTGCTGTGTATCGTCGATCCGTGGGCGATGGATTTAATTCCAACACCTGCTTTACCTGTGCGTAACAGGACAGGGAACACGATAGGATTACACGCTATAAAATGGCTATTTATCTGTACGTATGGCAAGCAAGGGTTAGTAGCAAGGGTAAATGATAGTTTATTCGCAACCAAACTACACATACGTATATGTATTTCTCCACCTCTTATCTGTATTCATGGGAAAGAATTTTATCCTAAAGGACTAAAACATTAGTTTTGATAACCACTTATACGAACAATAAACGAACCTCACCTGGTCAATACGTCCATTAATAGTATTATCGAGGATGCATGATACAAGTAGGCTCTCCACTTCCGCAGAGGGGATATTCAACTCTCGGGAAATGAACGAGATTGTAATGCGTGTATAAGGGCGAATCAGCCGAATTAATACTTGCCTAGAGATCATATACATAAATAAAGAATAAAAAATAAAAGCAGCAATTAATATGTTCTTTGTGGACGATTTGTAGATATAACCACTGCGAATTAATAGAACTCTCTCGCATTTGCGGAATACAAAACCTATCTTGTGACCTAAAAATATAATAACAACGTTTTTTACGTGTTCGACGAAGACTGAAACGATGATATACTTCCGTTGGTAAGCACATTGAAGCAGCTATGCAGTTTTTGCAGAATAGTAATGAAACAGACATAAACAATGGAGGAACTAGAAGTAGTTACCGTCGTATGTTAAGCAGAAGTTGCTCGATGTGTTCCTTAATGAATGCGTCCTTCATGATCGACTCCTTGTGAGGGCCTGACACAATTGACTCAAAACGGCTTATATCATGCGCCTGGCAAAATGTATGCAAAAACAAATGTTGAACACTTACCATGTACACGAAGTGTACCATGTTCGAGAAAAAGCTAATAAAAGCTGGATAAATCTAGAAGGTATTCCTAGCAATGGCGACTATGGGACGCTAAACAGAGCAGAAAGAACTTCTGAAAGCAGAGAAAAGCTTGTTCTACTGCGATATTTTTTGGGGTGACTGTACGACTTTTAAACTTTGTATATTGTTCATTTACCTACTTTGCCCGGTTTTAGGAGAAATGGTAGATGCATCATAGCGAAAATAGTGTAATTATTAGTATACAATACGTTAAACTATAAGACAACCTCAATAAGCTAACTTTAATAATATAAAATATTATAAGTATAAGAAATTACCTGGTAAGCGTCAACCAGATCAGTAAGCGCAACAATTTCCGGGTCATCTTTATATGGTTTTGCTTCCTGAGAATCCAGAACGTTGATCACTTTGGCACTTTCCTGAATACAGATCGTCAGAAATTGCACAGTTTAATGACTGTTTTTTTAAACTAATTAATTGAAAACTTTAATAAATTATCAGTTACAAGTTAGGCAATTTTAGTTCGATACGGTGTTTTCCGTATTATAGATAATAATACATAAAAATGCCATTCGTAACATACTATTTAATCAAATGTAAGCAGACATTATATAGTTTTACTTATTTATCTGAACTAATAGTTCAAATGAAAATAAACGTATTTCGGAAACCACCGTGTTGGAACCGTGAAATCTTGGGGAGAAGCTCTACCGATCAGGGTCGATTTAATGTGTATTGTTTATACATGATTTTTCTAACCCAGCTTACCTTTTGCATAAGCATAGATGCCAAAACGAGGTACTTAAGGCAAGTGGTGCGTCGTGGTGAACCACTCTCATCGTAGTTCTTAAAAGCCTCAAAAAAGTCCGTGTGAGCCGAATTGTATTCTCCCTCCCGAAGATGCATTTTGCCTAGACATTTCACAACAGCTTGTCAGGTGACTAAAATGTATTATTTGCTTGGTATAGTAAATATAAAATAAACGAGTAACACACATAAGCGACACGCTGTAGTTTATACTAGTCATCTAAAGATACGCTACTATCAGACTAATAGGGAAGCCTTGATTCCATACTTTACGATCCACCATACTTTCTAATATATGGTCCTCTTATTTAGGTACTCTTTGATGCAGTTCGTTGAAAAATACTCTGAGAGAGATAATCTCGTTGGTACACCCTTACAAAATTAACTTACCACCACACTCACGAATAACGCCCATAATAAGCGGATGCGCAATTGCGCTTTTTATCTGCAGTGATGCCTCGTAGAGTTTTTTGAGCTCCTTATTATTCTTTTGGCTCGTGTACATCTGAATCTCTAGTGCGTAAATCTCCAATAGTTGAGTACCTATAATAGAATAAAAAAATATCCATATGCGATACGAGAAGCAGAGAAACAGCAAAGGGATAGACAGCAACACAGATCATTACACATAGCTAACCACCCTAATTCGAGTTTTGCCAATTGCGAGGTATGTATGATTACTGTATTTTCAGAGAACTTGCGTCCTTAGTCGCTCTTCAAGCTTCCGAAGTCATATATTTCACAGGTAGAAAAGATCGCCATATTCTTGAGAGTAACTAATGCCTCAATTACGTTAGAAGTGGTGAACTAGCAGTCAGAGAAGGAACAAAATCAACTGCTGTACTGATGATATTATTCTTAGAAACTAAAAACCGCGGCTGTGAAAACAACGAACCCTTCCGCAGATCGTCACTACCGTCGACATTTTGACAGCTCAGGTGAAGCTGACGGAGGATTCTCGCTAACCGGTTCCACTCTTCCCTGTCAAGATATAGCTTGCCAAGTTTCGTATTTGTTTTAAACCAAAGACGATCATTTTTAGCATCTCGTAACGCTTCCAAAGTAACCTATATAAGAAATGCATGCGAACAAAATACTCCTTAACAATGTTTTTTACAAGTCGTATGCTTAATTTCTTGCATCATATATTATCAAAAACATCACAAAGGGTCCAAGCGAAGCATATTTATATAGAATCGATAATAAGAAACACACATTCAATAGGGTAATCAACATCATCGAGACCTCAGTGAATAAAAGCAATTTATTGTCTCTTTTTTGAAAAAAACCTCTTAAGCTGCTTGATATTCCGTGGTAAAAGTACCACTAATGTGTACCTCGTAGAATTCTTGTAGAAGGTCCATCTTTTTTGAAGTTGAAATGTAATCGAGAATCGAGTTAATTGATTTCTCGGAGTAGTTTCTGGTTACTGCAGTACGGATGTACGTCAGCAATTGCTTATAGCGAGACATCATTTCTTTGAATCTGCAAGTATTGATCAGATATTCGCAACACTTACATATAATAAGGTACAAAATACGTATTAAATATACATTTACTTATAAAAACAACTTGTGCCTTATTACCTAACGATATTAACGATATTACCTATCATGCTTATTATTTCATCGTTTTCGTTTTTTACTTCGTTATTGCCATTTTTCGTGTGCTAATAGTCAAGCGTTGTACACGTTTGGGAATATTCCTTTTCTTTAACAAGCCTGCTGTTGTTGTTATGTGCAGATCATAAAATGTCCAAGGATCTAGGCGTGGAAAAGAGATGATCTTTCTTTTAATTTGGCTTTTCATTTTTGGAGATGTGTAAGCTATATAAGGAAAAATATATTCACAATTAAAAATGCGTGATTGGACAGCGTAAGGAATCAAATCTATCTAAAAAAAATTGGACACAGATTTTGGAACAGCTAGGGAAATTTAGTAGAAAATACAAAACAAATCTTAAAAATTATTAAAAGATAACTGGATCAGACATTTTAAAAATACAGAAACCAAACTGAAAAAATTCGGAAATAGTCGTGATCTTTTTTGTATACTTTTCCAGGGTTTTCTTTTTATAATGAGCATTTTTCTAATGTTTTTCTATTATCTATTTTCTAATATTTTTCCAACCACCTACCCGACTTCAATTTTTTCTTGACCTTTTTGCGATTTTTTAAATCTTTAGAAAAGTTTTCACTTTATGAAACATCGAAGTTGTTGTAGTATGAAAACAGGTATATCTATTTCAAAGCTTAAATGTGAGGCATAGTAAAAACGGACGAAAGGACGACATCAACCTGTATAGCAATGAAAAAGCTTTTTAAGGGTAAATGAAGCTCGACTATCAACAAATATTAAAAAATAGAAACAAAAACGAAAGCGGTGAACACTTACGCATGAAAGAAACACTTCCACGAGGTAATGCCACGTTGTAATATATTATCGTAAACATTATTCCACGATGATTTAAGATACTTACTCTCCAAGCTGAAAGTTGATCTTCACCATTTGTTTTAGTGCTTTAAACCCGTAGTCTCCTTTTTGACCGCCTTCCAAATCCAATACCTACAAGAAAGAAACCAATATCGGAGCCGATAAATTTATGCTTTTAGTATTCAAATAATTAATGTCATTAATCTTAGATATAGAATAATTAATTAAGAAATGAGCAGACCTTCTGGAAACTTTGTAGTGCTGCCTGGGGATCATCTTCCTTAAGTGCCTGGAAATTCACAAATAATAATAGGTTCAAATATTTTTATTCATATACGTTTGAGTGTTCTAGCTACTGTAACAAATCATACAAAGAATCACATAGTTTTTAAATCGAGTCGATAGTTGTAACAAATAGTGTCGTTTTCATTAAGCAAAATAAGAACCGTTCTATCTTATCGTAGTTTAAGGACCACTTGGACAAACATTAAAGGCATATTTCCCTTGGACCCTTCCAATGGCCAATACATTACGCGTGTGGTTGTTTAAGTACACGAGGTTCATTTTTAGTAGCTGGCTACCATTTGTAGAATAAAATATTACTCGTCGGTAATTAAGTATTATAAATCGGTTGACGATTTTAAGTACGTCCTTACCGAATTCGCCATTTCAATTAGAGTGCTAAAAATGAAACTTCCGGCTTTTATCATGAAAGTACTGTAACTTTTTTTTTGTGTAAAGATCTTTAGTGAGACGACTGTGAGAGGCATTTTTCAACTAAATTTCGCGTGCAACTATAAGTATAAGGAAGTCACTAAACATAGTAACATTAAATCTGCTGAAGGAACAGGCATGAATATAGTACGATATTCTAGTGATAGAAATTTCTAAACTATTCGAATCATTATTTAGTCGAAATCTATAAAGCTATGTACAGCATCCTACCTTGGAGTTATAATATTGATTCTCGAGGTCAACATCAGGTTGCGAATCGTCGTCCTCTGAGTACTCGAGTTCATAATCTTCCTCGGCGTCAGACATAGTCACAGTTGTATCGTCTTTCACGATCTGTTATAGAAAATGTTTAAAGTACATTTAAGGACCCAGCAATAGCTTTTTCTCTTGTACATTATTAACAAGTTTTTAGAACCATTGATTTCAAATTCTGACTAATTAAACGGAAGCATTTTGGGCATAAGCACAATTTCTCATTTAGTCATTCTCGTGTTCCAAAAATGTTAAAATGTGATCCCCTCAAACTACATGAAGTGACAAATTATTGTCGAAAGGCAACAATATGTGTGGTAAAATGATATTTTATGATAAAATACCACCTTACCTTTATCGATATAGCTCGAAAAAAACTCATATCAGCCATAAGTATTGTGGTATTGCGGTAAAATACATGGTTTGCATGTTAGTCTCAAATAAACTACTGGCTGTACTAAGATGAAAAATAAACTTTAAATAATATCTTTCAGATAATACTTTCAATAATAATAAATGCCTTTCAGCGTTTAGGATAAAAGTGTATATGCTATAGATTTACTGCTTTGTTTATGTCGATAAGGTATAATTAAACTAAAAAATCATTTGCAGTTATTTGTTATATCTGCTTTAGCTGTCTATACGCAACTTATCTGCAATACCAGTTGCAATTACTGAATTTGCGACAAAGCACAAAATCGTTTTCTTTACTGCAACGAACATTCGTTGGAAATGTACTACTTCACGCTTTCTATGAACGCCGGGAATATTCATTACAGATAAAGTTATTTTCAAACATTCTTCCTGTTTACATAAATAGCCATTTGTTTTTACTTTACATCGTTTCATACACAATAGGTGAAGTTGGGTAATTCTGCTGTAAGGCTGCACGTACCTTGAATTTCGATCTGTTTTTTTTCTTGATTGCCGCACTAGCAGTCAACAATCAATGACGGGGTACGAAGGGCTGTGCCGAAAACGAAACCACTTGGGCTTTGATATTTATTGAATACATTTGCTTGGCAGAAGCGCAAAATCATAATCCTTTAGTTTTTATCGAGTCAATTTTTTAGTGTCTGGCAACCATTTTTATTCGCAAGTTTAGATTATGAATAGCCGTGCTTAACATGAATAATTACATAGTAAATATAAGAATTAAGCAAAAGAAAAGTTTCGATCTGGTTTTACGCACGGAGCGCGCAACTAGGAAGTCGATGTGTTTACAAACAATTAAGCCGGCATCTGGTTGAAGTGTAATCATCTTTCTTAAATCTCATTGCTACTTGTGTGTGGTTCAATTCTTGAAGTTTGTAAACTCTATCCGTTTAAATCGTCCCTTAAAATGAAGTTAGTGCGGTAAGTTTTTGTTTAATAACCATTCACGCATAGACAATTTCTAGATTCCACCTTCCTAGGATTCCTAGATAATTCAACATGATTGTAGCTTCTTGTAGCTTGCCAAAGAGAGACAAAAGCATTTATATTAGCAAATGCCGTAAAGTTAACTGTATATAACAGTTGGCTACTATTATAACATTACGTTTCCATTGATTAATCTTAGTGGCTTAACGTGAGAAACTTATTTCGGTTTATTTACGATTTACAAATACAATGGTATTTGCAGTTACAATTTGGACTGATTTTACTTTGCACAGTGTTTCGAAATCGAGTAAATAGACATGGATGTGGATAAACAGTAAACCTAGAAGGCGATATTAAATGAAAATATAAAATGATGATATAAAATAGTTCATAAAATTGTTCAATGTTTCTAAAAGGCAAACAATCATTTCTAATTTTTTCACCGGCAATGATGCTTTCTACATGTTTCCAATAGAGGTGGAGTATTCAACGCGTATTAGTGTATTGGTGATGTTGAAGGTTGAAAAGGCTGGAGCAAATACGTTTTGAATTTTACATAAAAATGTTTGTCCTAGTGATATGTACTATGAATAAGGCATATTTTATGCTACGGATCTTGCATGCACCGTCTAAAGCTCAGATGAGTCAGATATATTGTTTGATAGATTTCACGCGACATTAAAACACAATTGCATTTTTAGGTTTCTGATGAAGTTGAGTCACGAGACCGTAACAATTGAATTGAAAAATGGATCTCAAGTGCGTGGCACAGTTGCCGGTGTCGACGTGGCCATGAACACCCATCTCAAGAATGTCAAAATGACACCCAAAAATGCACAGGATCCCATCTCACTAGATACGCTCTCTATTCGTGGAAATAACATTCGGTAAGAAATATTCCTTGTACCTTTTGTGATATAATAGTATTGTAAAATGTTTTCAAAAATAGCGCAACTAAACGTAGCTATGATATGGGGTCTTCCTAAGTTTCTCCTGACACTTTTTCCTCTTTCTTTTGATGCAACTGCTGTGCAAAGAAACAAATCTGTGCGATTCGCGCATCCATATTTGAAGAAGTTTGACTTATATATTTTTCTGTTTTCATGCGTATTCCCTATTCTTGGCGACTTTTTCAAATCTTTTTCCTTCAAGTGAATTTAGCAGCACACCAAACAGATGACTGGCTGGCAAAATAGAGAGTTGGATTTTTGCAGTGTGTGGAGCAAAGCTACTCGGCCTAGGCCTTGGCGTGATATCAATAATATGCACACTAAGGTTTATTCTTGTTTCTATCCCACACCAAATAACAGCGCTGCTCTTAATGGCGCTCATTGATATTGACACGTACCTAAATATCCGAGGGTCTGACGTATCTACTCAGTTAGAGATGGATTCTGAAGGTTTTTGATTTATGCTCCAAACACACTTAATGTACGATATGGATTACCATACGTCCTGTCGGTTGTTACAATTTGTATCCAATGGTAGACGCTGAATGATATATTCGGAGCATCGAAGAGTCATTCTAAAAAGCTTTAAATTATGCTGTTATATAAAAAATTTGGGCTCCAGTCTGACGCGCTTCTTTTATTTATCTACTGCGCTACTTGAATTTTGGATGGCACCGTGATAGACAACTTGGTCGATAATCAAAAGATGAAAAAAACGAAAAGTATTGTATTGCTCTTATTGCTTATTCCGTGGTAAAATAAATATTGTTGAACTGTTAGGATGAAGTATAAGACTAAAGGTGTATACATTATCTGATAAATTTGATAAACCTTCTCAACTTTTTGGATCTAAGGTTTCATAAGGTAGATGTAGTTTGTAGTGTGGCTATTGTTGCCTTCAAATCAGAGTATTAACCGGAGCGCAAACAGGCTCCGTCTAAAATTGTGCATCGTTATAAAGATTATTCAGTAAAAGTGAGTCAAACTGATTAAAAACCAAAAAAAAACTATTATGTTTTTTATTAGTGTTTAAAGTATTGATGTGTTGGAAGGAGCGATAATGGCTAATACATCGGAGCTAACATACTATCTAATTGTTTTCGTGTCCGACACACTATCTAAGATTCTTTAAGACAAAATTAAATGATCGAAATGATAAGGAATAACAAAGCGACAGTTGGTGCATGGCCCTTACAGTAGTTCAGTTTCCCACCTACTAGCGCGTTTCCAAATAGATCATCCGATCTCCAAGTAGGCGTTTCATTGTACTACTCTTACTGTAAGAAATTTGGATATTTTTGTGATTATTTGTACTTAAATACGTCCCATTGTAAATATATTTAAAGCCATAACAGATACGAGCGTTTTGAAAAAAGTTCAGCTGGTTTTCGTTGTGCTAGGTGACGATCTTCAATCAAAGGGAACACCCAAAATTACGAAATTTAGCCCTAGCAAGAAAATTTTTGAATTCCACTGTATCATGTTCGGCCAGTAGATAACAGATAACTTTTAGACGTAGCTCTCTCTCTCTCTCCCTTTATATATGCACACAGACACACATGCATGTCTGTATATGTAATCGGTGACGATTGATACCATTTTATCCAGTTTTACCAAAATATACCATATATACCCTATAAAACCCATTTAGCGATTTTTTAAGCTTCCTGTTATCACTACAAGGCACTACAAGGTACGCTATTACAAACCATAAGGGAGATCCTACCAGTGACCTAACAACAACAGCAGCGAAAGAGTTCCAGTATACAGTGATTTCATGACAGAAGACTTCATGAAATTCTCTAGCTCTTGTATGAATCTGCGAATTATGTTGTGATTGAAAACTGGTATGTAAGGTATAAAGACCTGATTGTCAATAGACGAAATTAAGTTCACACGTGCTCTCAGGCGCACCGTCCAAGTAAGTTTCGATGATACGATAAGCTACCTCAAAGCACGTCGCCTCATGGTCAGTTATCGAGTTCCGGAAAATGTATGTTCTTCAAGGCGTACGAGAACGATGTAGCCCCATATTCGATGAGTACGTTTGTAAAATCAACCGTCTACATCAAATGGAGTAGCTTTCCGTTATGACTTATGTTTTACGAAATTTGAATATGAAAACAGGCAGCTCTAAAAAACTTGGCCTAGCATCGCGACAATCGACTTTACTAACCGGAGCCTTAAGACTGGGCTCATAAAGTTAGTGATAAATTTTTTTATAAGAATCTATAGAACAGTGCGTCAATGCAGAACAAAGGAAATTACATAGAGACAAGGTACCGGATCTGATGTTACTACTATTAAAAAAACCTACTGATACATTATAAAAGTGCATTATGTGCAGCCAACATGCAGAAATTAAGTTGCTTGACGCACTTGACGCAAAAGAACGATGAGAGAACTACTGTATCGTTGAGTACAATATAGTATTTTTACGAATTGCTTGAAGCAAAGAAGTGTGGTCGGGAAGATCCGGAGATAATACAACGGTAGGGGTAGTAGAAGTTGAAAGCAAAATCAAAAGGTTTGCTTAGTAGCCTGAAATAGGCATATCCGCAATTTTTTCCGCCGATTTGGGCAAATACGCCACAATAAAGGCTTACATCCGTGTGTATCCGGAGTATGAAAAATCGTTTAATAAAAAAATATTAGGTCGTGGCTGGTTTTATCCAATGTTCCTCCTAAACTAGAGAAGGAGTTAGTAGTATTATATATAACTGATATTTGTGACTAAGTACTCACCTGAAATATGATGATCCAGTGGTAGCAATTTAACAGATAATGTATGAACAGAACAATATCACTCATTACCAACACCAGATGGCATCTTTACTAAGCTCGATGGCGGAAATATTTTTTCACAGTAGATATTTGCACGTTGAAATTAATGACGAATTCGAAAAACTATCGACTTCCTTAGATTGTCTGTGAGTGCAATCGGCTCCAGCTATCTTCCAAAGGATGATAGAAAAGTCGCTAATGATACATTTTTTTAATGCCTATTTAAATGGCGCAGTGGTTGTTAGTTCTGTTATTTCGGAATAATGAATTGTTCTAACGAATCATGGACCTAAGATTGAAAGTCCGATTTGAAAAACGTCGGTAAACTAGTTAGCCTAAATTTAATTTATGTACCGAAGAATATCGGAGAAATGGTTCCAAATATATCTTCTAAACAGCTGACAACCAACATAAATACACATGTGATACCACACAATTTGGCAATCAATTTTTAATGATAACGGCCTCCAAACATGACAAACAGTTACAGACTCCAAGTTCCGGATCAATAATAACGTTAGAACCGCACTGTTCTATCCGCAAATTTATCTATATTTTCAACAGAGGTTCCAAAAAAAGATTCGGATATGGCTTGTGACCTACTTGTAATTTTCTACAGAAATTATCCGAATTCGGCAGGAACTACCCGAGTAGAGCTTTTCCTGGAGAAAAAAACTGAAAATCCTCTTGGTTTTTTAAAATTCAAAAATGAACACAAGATCCGTACAATGAACGAACGCTCTACCTCAAAGAAAACTTTTTTATTAATCAGCTCTAGAGGATGCGGATATCCGACTTGGTTATCAGAGCGGATTCTAGCACGTGCCGGAAGTGTTGTGCATAGAAAAGGAAGAAGAAATGGGAGCAACATGCCAATCAATTGAAAGTAAATAATGAATTGTTTTTTAAAATGATGTTAAAAACGACATCAACGTATCGAGAAATATTATTAGTAATAGCATTACGGCGCCCAGAAGTGTAGCGAATAAGCCAACTACATTCATCACAACAGGACTACGTTGGGTTAAACAATCTACTATAAGACTCCTATATACATATATTTGAGTAACCAGTAAACATTTAGCTCTGCAAAAACAAGTGTTTCATTGTGAGTAGTGGAATTTTGACGTAGAACTACATCTTTTTCCTAAGTGACTTTAGCTAGTTATAGTCAGATCAGATACGTTTTTTGATGTACTGCTTTGTAATGCACCATATAAACAAGTGGGGCAAATATAATAGCAATGATAGATCTGCTTATTCAATCATTGCCGGAACTACCACAAAATTTGTGTTTTTTTTTTTACCAAGAAATTGATTGGAAAAAAACACGATGTGGTATCAGCTTACAGTGGTCTGAAATAAATCCAAGATTTAATTTGCATGTATATTCCAGGTACTATATTCTCCCCGATTCTCTGCCGCTCGAGACGCTTTTGATCGATGACACACCAAAAGCGAAGAAGAAAAAAGAGGGCGCCAGCGGTCGAGGACGCGGCAGAGGCCGGGGCAGGGGTGCGCCACGAGGTCGCGCTCGTGGAAGGGCTGCAAGACGTTAGCAGAAGCTGTCTGTCATCTACAACTGCTGTGGTGATTGCGGCAGCATCTCCCATTGCTACAAAACGATTTCAGTTTACCCAAATGAGTACGATCGGCGTTTTTAATAAATGGTTGCGGTGTGATCATTCGTAGCTACAAATGTCGGTAAAAAAACAACAAGCTCTGCTGGGACTTGACAATGCGGAGGCGTCCATATTGCCAAATGTGAAGTTGCACGCGATATGTACTTTAAAATGTGAATATATTAAAGTAAAGGTGTTTGATTCGTTTCATGTAAAAAGGCGCCATATGTTGATTCGAGACACAGCGTAGGTGATGAAGTGAAGGAGTAAAGAACGGTGAATAATAAATTGCCATAATTCGTTACTACTGATATATTTTTCTTGCAAAAGTAAAAACAAATTATTTCATTAAGATGAGAAGTTCTTACGCTTTAATCCAAAAAAAAGGTCAGTCGTTATTGTATAAACATTCTTAATATGTTGAAGTGTAATGGGTTTGTCAAAAAGTCTCACAAGTTTCGTTACTGTATAAAATTTCTTAGAGAGTGTATCTAGGGGCATGGTGCTTGATGATGCGTGTTGTAGGGGTGTCTAAATTTTGACCAGACGCGACTTAATACACAGCATATGATGGGAGCCAGGGACCGTAAGTCGCGCGATAACGATAGGGGATGCATAAGTCTATTTTATGCTAAGCGATCCAGCCCCAACGCGTATTTCAAGAACGCCCTAAGTCGACTTAGCTACTCGATATTCTTTACGCTTAAATTCTGTTGTATTACGTGTTGCTACTGGAGCGAGTTTGAGATGAAAAAGATCTACAGCATTTGAAATAAACAAACGTTGCGGAGTCTCTATTCTAGCCGCTCCAATACCAGGTACCTTTTACGTCTTTCATCGAAGACAAGAGCGTTGTGAAGCTGCTGCCGTTATGCGGTAAAAGGTGCCCTAGTTTCGGAAATTTGTTGATATACTTTAGTAGCGTACATGATAGCGTGTCTGTTGTTCGAGGTTCATCGTTTTCGTCTTTGTCAGGTACATCAAACCGAGCTCCACGGCGGATGTATGCGGCCTAGCAAGGGCTTGCTGTATCTAGAACCTGTACAAAAAGAGATTATCTGCCTAAAGGAGCATTTCCATAAGGTTTCGGGTCCCATGAACCCACTTGGATAGGTCCTTCGTAGAAAAAAATAAGTTCAATTATCTCCCTATGCCAGACCAATGGCTTGAAAGACCGGTAGCAGCTCAGAGACTTTATCGCACGTTGTGACTTTGCTTCCTAAAGTGTCACTGCTATCATACCGATCACATTTGTGAAGACTTCCCCTTTTGCGATAGTTATTTATACTGCTTCCCTATGAAATCAAGCTGCCTTAATGTAGACATATATAATGTGCCTCAATCCACAAATATAGCATACGTGAATTTATGCGGAACTCTCGAGTGTTTCATATTAGTGGGGAGAGTCTTACTGCCTTTCCTATCAAGCATCCCCTTACATTCATGTTGCTTTTGTGGAACTGCACCCACACTTTCTAAAAACTTGCCTAGTTTTTGTGCTTCTTTTTGCTTGCCTTTACGTAAAAGATAGGAGAGAAGTAGGCTCCCCTTGATGCGGGCTGTGTTTAGTTGTCTCTGGGCCTTTGAGGGTGACCAATAGAGTGGTGTCTCTTTTTTGACCGCAAAGCTGCCGAGTGGCAACGTTTGTCGATCAGGGCGCTATAGCTAGTGCGCTTTTAAGATGTTCGTTTTGTAGTCTATCCGGCATAGCTACCTTATTGTAATTCTATTATTGTAGAAAATTAGACAGCTTCTCCTTCAGTTACTTGGGTTTTGCAGCTTTTTAAATACCCAATCTTCATTCAGTTTGGCACACGAAGACAACTATTTTAACCAATTAATGGCAATGTGATTAAATTCTTAATAAAAAAAGTCAATATACACATGAAGGGAATCTCTTATCTGTTCCATACACTTAGTGGGTAGTAAGAATCGACCAATTCCAGTTTGCTCTATCATTGCTTTTTAGTAAAAAAAAACGTAATCGTACAGAACCCATAGAATAGAAGTTAGCAAAGCAAATTCAGTCATGTTTTGCATATATATACTTCACTGAATTAATTAAATGTTGGGTTTCTTAGATAGAGAATAAGAGTACCTTATCACGTAATGACAAGGCATAGGGCTGAACATAGTTGGAATGGCTTAGTTCTCCTACCTTTCAATTTTTTTTTCGGTTTTTTCGACTTTTGCAATTTTTCGTTCGGTTTGCTGAAACCTACGAAACTTTATAATGGATGCCTAAATCAACTGCTATATTATGTAAGGAACGATCTTAGTGGCTGCTTTACATTCAGGTGTCTTTGTTGTGTGAGCCACCCAAACTATATTTTCAGTGACTTACGCATTTGAATTTCATATTCCGAAGTAGTAGGATAGGCTCAATACACACAAAATCCATACATTTGACAATATATATATATATATATATATATATATATATATATGTGTGTATATACATACATATTTTTTATTTTTGTTCAGACGTGGGTAAAAGGTAAAAGTCTTAGCCGCTACTCGATACGTAGTTACTCTCTGACCAACGGCTTGGTTATTCAAAAACTGATAGCAGCAACGAAGTTTGCGCGCAACCGAACTTTTGCATGCAATCGAACTACGAAATCTAGAAACGGTTCCGAACCGCCGCAATAGGCAAACCACTCTCGAGACAACCGATAGTGGGCCACGTTATTGTTGGCGCTGAGGCAAAGGCCGAAGAAGGGGCCCTGTTGCAAAGGAAAGAAGCTTGACCAGAAAGAAAACCAGGCATGCTTACTATGGGGAGCAAGCGGCCATATACAATATACATTTGCTCAATCCAGTCTGTGAAGAACTTAGGAAAACAATCTACAATACGTGTCATCTTTGCAATAGGTTTTGTCGAGCCTATTACAAGAAAGAACCGAATTCGCACGAGTCTTAGGTGCAAAGAGCGCATCCACTGCAAGATATGTTGCTAGGGCTGTTGGACTATGATTAAGCACTGGAAACCAATACAAATGTGGTTTCCTGCAGCAGACACACTCTATATAATATTTGTATATATAGGCGACGATGCTATATAGGCCTGTTTATAATAATGAGGCAGAGTATACCGTCGAATTCGTAGCAGATAAATGCCATGTTATTAAATAACGTAATGCCTGTGGTTTTGGGTCGATTCGCCTTAACGGTCACTACTTATCTCTTCTTGTTGATAAAACAAGCGATGAGTTCATTAAAAGTGACTTTCCGCATGCAATGGGGTATCCTAATTTTAAAACGGTATATTTACTAATTCCTAATTGGAACAGTGCAGAAGTTACTGCTTTTTCCCTTAAGGCATTGAAAAAGTTTATGTAGGCCTTACGTGGCCTTTCTTAAGCTTTTCGTTTTTTTGCAAATGAAGAGAATATGATGCAGGAGGTGTCTGAAAGTTTTGTTGTCGTTGTTTTATGGACCACCCCTATCCACTACGAACACGTCAGAAATCATCAGTTGCGTAGAAATTTAGGATCAAATTAAGAAATATAGGTTAACAAATGATACAGGACAAGGTTTAGACTGGTTGGCCTACCAGACGAAGTTTACCTGCTAACTTATTTATGATATGATCAACCCAATTAGCCACCTAATTTCGATCAAAAATAGGCTCCCTGCAGTTTGAGCAGCTAAAAGAGAGAAGCATTTGTTACAAAAGCCAATAATGGCTTGTTCATCGATTTGTCCATGGAAAGGAGCCTGGATGGGCTGCTATATTCTTCAGTGGAGGTGAAGCGTTACTACAAAGATGCTCTAGATCAACATTCAGAAATATTCATTCATGCTTTCATTGGACACCAAGAAAACTACAATGCAAGATCTTAGACAAGCGAAACCTTTTAGGCAATTTAGAACAATCTCTGGTCAACGGAAGTACAAAATGAATTTTTTTTAGGCCGTTAAGAGGCTTTTTTTCATAAACTTTGCCCTACCCTCTAATAAATCTAAGTGCAGTTCAATCTAGACATACTTAATTAAAAATATCGAACGGAATCCTGCCGAAAAACGAAGCCATCCGTATAATGTGCCTCGTGTTATCCTCATCGATAAACCAGAGAATACTAACAGGCTTGATCATGTTTAATATCAACTTCGAACTTCAGGCACGGCTTTAAAAACGTCTATTGCAGAAAATTTAATACGGCCCTTGAGTTCGGGACGGAGACTGATTCGACGTTCTATGAGTATGCTTGGACAAAGCAGTGGACTCTAGTCAGATACGAAAAGAACACCATTCAAAACCCTGCACTAAAAGCATTTTTCTAATCTATATTTGGGAGTCGGTTGCGGTGCCGGCGGCTTCAAGCTTAACACCTGATGTAATCCATAGTAGGCATAATGACGTCCCTTTACTTACGTCATGGCGCGGCATAACGAAGAAGAGTGTGACCCATATGATACTTGCCGGTTTGATCATGACTCGTTTTGAGTTTTCTGGATATTGTCTGTGTTCTTCTAAAAAAAAAACAGTATTGCGTTGATAATTGCCTGTACAGTTTCGCTAAAGAATACCCATGATCAGAGGCGGTACGTGGCGGGCAGATATTCGATAGGTTTATAGTTTTGGTACAATAAGGCGAAAGCAAATCGTTGCTAAGTTAAGTGTTTCTGAGGTCCCAAGCAGAGTTCAGTAGTTATTCGCCTTTATTTTATAGATAGGGTTCACGAACTTCCTACGATTTGTTTCCTACCATGAATTACTGTTACTACAGACAAGATGTAAGAGATACAATTACTATCCTCCATCGCATTCAGCCTTTTTTTTTTTATCTGGTCTGTACCTCACTGCCATACGTCACAAGCACGTCGATGCAAACTCTGAATAAAGGATATAAATTTTGAGGTGAATTGAAACATTTTTTGAATGAGCTCAATGCACATCTCTTCGTTGGCCCTACTCTGTTCTTGATTTAAGTTAATCAAACAAGTAGGAACTTGCAAAAGAACTAAGATAGAATAAAGTAGAATGTATAAATATGTAAAAAGTCAATAACGGTGAGAATTTAGAAGATGGTGGAGATGATAGAATTAAGAACACAGTTAAAGTTAATTCATGCTGCTAATCCGTTACATGTAGAGTAAATAGAATTTCAATTATAGCTTAGGCTTTAAAGAAAGATATTCGAAGTAAAAAAGAGATGCATTTTCGGCACGTATGCTATTTCACATTATGCCGAGGTAAAACAGCAGCTGAGGTAGTGAGACGTTTGTGCAGTATACAGCAATACCTCTATAACTGTGACGACTGCTTGAACAGTTGTTTAGTTTAATGATAGGATTTTG